TCAGCACAGCCACTCAGTCACAGCTAACTATAGCCTTCAGGTTGAAATAACATCTATGGACTCCACTTTCCCTGCACTTTTCCATAGGTCCACTGGGCAAGCATCTACCCATGCCTGTCCCCTTCAACTACACATGTGGTGGCACAGAAATTCCTGCAAGCCTTATGGTGCTAGGGGCCTTCTATGGGCCTGTATTTCCAGAATTGTTCCATACCTCCTCCTTAGTAGCATTAATTCTGGTGAAGACTCCGCTGATTTCCCATGGAGGGACCATTTCCCTATAATCCGTCACAGTAAAGACTCATGCATATATTTAGTCTATAGTTAGTTAGTTAGTTAGTATGATTACCCTGCTTAGTTTCCCCAGTCTCATTCATCATCTTCTTCCATTTTGCATTCTAGAAGGCCAAGGGGACAACACTGGCTTCTAGCCATGAGTTCTGTTGCAGATGAGATGGTGGTTGCTTATGCATGTTTAAAAAACAAAACAAAAGACACAGCACTTTAAACTTGGTGCACTACCACGTCAAACCCAGTGCATGCCCGGAAGAGGCGTTGCATTAGTTAGACCAGGCCCACCCAATGTCTGTATAGATCAGGCGCTTTTGTGGAGCCTTTTTGGCTCTTTTATCTAATAGCTGATTGAATCAATTTTAGATAAAAGTGCCAAAAAGCCATGCTGAAGTGCCTGATCTATACAGACACTGCAGAACCAGGTCGAACTAAGGTGCTGCTTCTTCCAAGAAAGTGCATTTTTGGTTTTATTTTTCACATCTGTAAGTAACCTATAATGCCCAGTGCACTGGGCCCTGGGCTGGCAGGCAAGTGATGTGAGATCTATTCCCCACTCTTCTGTCGGTTTCCCAACAAGCTAGGTCTCTTCTAAGTATTTGGGTTTCTTCATCTATAAAATGGGATGGCAAAATGACCCACTGCTGCTTTCCAAATTACAGAGGCAAAAGACCATACAGGCCAGATGTTTGGCTGAAGTAAATTGGTGTTGCTCCACTGATTGCCTGGAGCATTTTGGGAAAAGCCAAGGAAGCCATGTTGTTCCATCACATCTTCTGATTGAGTTTCAACACTCAGGCAAGCCCGCCAGGTCCACAGAAACTGCAGCTGTTGCAAGGAACAGAAGATGACACATTATAGGTGCTACAGTGCCAGAAGGGGCAGAAGACCCCAGAGTACCACATGGCTGAGAGGTCAGGGTACAACTTCTGTAGTGTGCATTGCCAGACACCTGCCTCATGTACTTTTGTGATAGTCTTGCCAGGCAGAGCTTCATAAAAACCACAAGAATTTTCTCCCCTGGAGCTCCCTGAACCCAAGCAGCATCTAGGAGTGCTAAGAAATCAAACTATGTGAAATAAGAAGCCTCTCAAGGTGAACCCACCTTGAGAAAAGATTTCAATCTACAGGAAATATAGTAAGACCCTGCCTTTTCCAGATGATGTGTTGGTTAGTTTTAGACCTCCTCACTTTAAAACTTGTCTGCCATAAGACCAAACACAGATAAGAATAGAGGGGGAGCAGGAGCAGGAGCAGCTTTATATTCAGCTCCTAGCTATGTCTCAATTGCCTCATTTTTCTTCTGAGCAAAGAACTTTCCAAATTGGGGCCACAATACACCTTTGCTGATCTACCAGTGGATCAGTTCTTTTGCTTATTTCTTGTTCTTGTGTTGAGCCACCTAATGATGAATACGACCCAATCTCCTTAGCAAGAGGTTATACAGCAGGCCCATAGCTAGGGACCTACTCAAATCATGATCGTGCAGATTGTGCAGAAATCGTGAAATTGGGCAACCTCCACAAAATCCATGGGGAAACCCCTCCCCAAACTTACTAAAAATAAAATGCTGGCTCCTCAGTGGGAGCCAGCAGTCCGCCCAGCCGTGCAGCCTGGCACGAAGCAGGCTGCCAGCATGAAGGTGAGCAGGAAACATGGCTGCCACCCCTACCCCTTGCTGCTGATTGCTGAGAGGGATGCCAGTCATGCAGTCCTGCTCCCCTACACCACTTAGCAGCAGGGGGCTGGGCTGCATGACAGACAGCCTTCTAGGCCAATCAGCAGTGGGGGACAGGGCCACTGGGACCCTTTGCCCAATCAGAGATGGGGGGCACCACAATAAGCGTGTGAAAATGGTGACTGGGCCCGTGATCTGCCCACAAAATCATGTGTCCACCTACTCGAGTTGGGCAGACCCTTACACATGGCCCACATTACCTAGGGAAGGAAGGAGCAACTGATGATACTTGATCTCATTTTGGTCATGGCATCTTAGGCTGATCAGCTGTTTGTAGAAGGGCACATAATTATCCAAGCTGTCCCAAGAAACAAGCTTGGGACTTATTCTACTTACACCAGAATGAATAGCACTCCACTGAATATGAGAGAGGAGATTCAGACATGATCTAGCTAACTAGCTATTACAACATATATTGGGTTCATAGCTATGCTGTGTATAGAACTGAATAGTCCACTTCAAGTGATTATTCACTCTCCTCTTCAGGTCCACGAACATGTAGGATTGGGTGAAATTTCCTTTCTCCTAGTTATGATCCACACTTGGCTGTGGTACAGGCCTCCAGTATTCTCTTCCTCTCATTGACCCATGTTTGTTGGTGCATATAAACCTATACTTATGGCTAGATAGTTACTCAGGAATATCTGTTTCTCTAAACTGTGTAAGCAATCACTTACACGGAGGACCCAATTCAGGAAGGTAGTTTCATTTATTTCATTATACACATGAAGCAGGATTAGGAACCCAGAGAGACAGACCAAATTCAGACCTGCCATAAGCAAGCACAGCTTTCACTGAAGCCTGCTGACACCTGGACTGAATCTGGCCCATTATAGTGGAGGAGTTCAAACAGCCAGTCCTTGTCAATTAATGTTGCCAGGAGCCTGCCTTAGGTTCCTACAGAGCATTTTTTGTTGTGAAAATGGGAATAGATGTATGATTTCATCCTCTTCAGTAGCTCGAGAAATGACTGCTTTCCTCAGTGCTGCTACAGGCTTCGTCTTGGCTAAAAAATGTTCGTTGTACAAGAGGAAGCGCAAAGAACCGTAGCATGAATACCCTTAGCTGACTCAGCAAGCCTACTGCCTATACTCCTGTCCTCCCTGTGCGAGGGTATTCAATATTTCAGGGCCACCAGTAACATTGCCCTCTCCTGGAAGTTCATCAGTATTATGCCCCTGTCTCTCTCTCCCTCTCTCTCTCTTTCTGTTTCCTCTTTGTTTCCATACCTCCATCCACACATTTGTTCCAGTGGCTGTTTCTAACCCACTAACTCACCTCCAAGCACACGTGTGTGCCTCCCACTGCCCTCTGCTCAACAGAAACAGCACTGCTTAACTTTTGTTATCTCCTGTACTATTAGAAGTCCATTAGAACAAGCAAGCAGAGGACTGGAGCCATGAGTGTTAAAATATGAGTGTCTAAATTTAAGCTCCTAAATAAGAACTCGGTTTTTCAGTATTACTTTAAATGTGAGAAGCTGCTGCTGCTGGGCTCTAAGCTTTCTGGGAATCAAGTCTCTTTTATTTGAGTTTTATGTACTTAGGAGCCTAATTTTAGGTACCCATGATTGACAACACAGGCACATGCTTTGGAAAAAGAGGATGTAAGATGCATTCCCATGACTGCTATGGGAGTCTGTATGGTTGTAGTGTTCAGCACAATGATGACAGCAATGTCCTAGGAGACTGCAGATTTGTTACAGTACTTTACTTCTCTCTTCTGTGATCTCCTTGGGGTACCAACTAATCCAAAACCTAGTATTGATAGTATGCATAATTAGGAATATCAGACAGAGTCATTCAAATGTGGCACCAACAACCAGAGGAGCTAAAAGAGAAATATGTCCTCAATTCAGCTGCAGTTAATGAGACAGCAAGGGGCAAAACTAGACATGTTAATCCCAAAGCCTGCCCACATGGTACTACCTAATGCTGTGGACAAAAGGGGCTCAGAGCTGGAAGTAGTGACAGCTGTGGAGCTTTGAATGCCATGCACAGAGATGAATACCTCCAGGGAGTCAACAAGTTCCCAGTTAGCTTCCTAATTTGCTATTGTTTTATGAGCTTGCATTACATTCAAGTGCTTAATTCAAAAACAAGTGCCTGGGGGCTGCTCCCTGGGTTTGATTGCATTGGGAGACCATTTTTTGATGACATATTTGTTTGTTCTTAGAGATTTTTCTCTTTGGCCAACATTGACTTAAATCCAGTGACTCATCTTTCTACATTGATTTACCTAGTCCTTCCGAAGGGGGACACACAGATTTCACCCAGCCAGTCATCATCCTTGTCATTGCTTCTGAACAATAAGCTTTGTGTTTTTTCATTTTCCAGATGGAATACATTGCTGAAAAACAGCACAGGCTAACCACAGCAGACAGCACTACTAGTCTATGTAGGAGCCTCAGTCACTGGGGCTAACCTGCCTGAATCTTTCAACAAAGCCTGTTGTATTCCACATTGCTAGATCTAAATAACAGAAGATCTTACATAGCCACAACCTTTGCATTGTCTAACAATTCTCACCAGAAATGCTGCAAGTTCTTAGTGCCACCAGAGGATGAAAACAATAGTCTAGATTTCTCATTGCCCTGCCCCTTACTCATTTCCATCAGGGCCAAAAGATGAGTGCTACTCAACACATTGGGATGATGGGCCTTAATGCCCACTTTCCTTTGCAAAAATTACCTCTCATTCAATAGGCTTTGGGCTCAGCCCTTTATAATGAAAGAAGCTATTTGAGATACTGCATCAAAGTTCAGATTTCAAATACCAGGGACCAGAGTAGTGAGCCCAGCAAGAGTATTTAAATATAATGGAAGAAACACAGCATTCCTGAGCATTAAGCTTTGGGCCATTGGGTCAGACCCAGCTCCCTTCAAATAAATCTCTCAAATCTGTTCTTTAAAAATTGTTTGATTAAACTAAAAACTGTCTAGGATTTAATGATCTACTACTGTGTATTACAGAATATTGGAAAGAAGATGTCATGCCAGCAATTTATAGCAAACCTGGATGGCTTAAACAATGGGAAAGACTTTGCAAAGGATTTGCTGAAGGTAATGTGATATAAAGAGAGAGGGATGACGTCTTATGGTAATACCTAAAAGTCCCAACTTAGAGATAGGATCTATTGTACTAGGAGCTGTGCATAGGCAGAGAATGAAGAATTTACACTTTAGGTAACCAAAAGTTCAGATGGACAACAGAAGCCAGAGAGGAAAGCTCATACAGCAGATCAGTGTCACAGTTGTTCAGGCTCCTAATCAAAATATCCTTGCTACTGAACCACAGAGAAATAACTGCAAGAGCCATTTTAACCAGGCCCTCCATCCAGGTTCCATTTATATGTACCATTTATATGTTTTACTTCAGGATGTTTTCAAATTTTATAGCCCTCACAACTAAAACAACAATGCCTCAAACTGAGCTGAGCACATACCATATTTTCTGTTCCCCAGAAAATGCTGGATTTTTTAAAGAACATTGCCCTGAATCAAAACAGATGGCAGAAATGTGACATTTTCTGCAGAACAAGTAGTTTTGAAAAATTCTATATTGGAAGAAGCAACACATTTTTAGACAACTTGGGACTGTCCAGCTACCCCTTCACTCTCAGTCTGGTAGACCAACTCCTCCAAATCCATACCTCCCTACAGGTACAGCTGACCAGCCGGGGGGAGGTGGGGGGGAGCTGGGGAGCTAGATAGCCCAGCCCTCTCACCTGCTGATGATCTGGCAAGTAGGCATGCCATTTTCTTTCCATAAAATTTTCCACAAAACAGGCACATTCCCAAGGAATATTCTAATGCAATCAAATTAGTAGTATTTTCCATTGGAAAACTATTCCACTAGAAGAACAATTTTATCAGCTCCAGTATCTAAAGCTTGAAACAATTTGGCCTGTTAGAATAAGTCACTGAAGGTCTGTTTCCTGCACAATTTTTATTCATACTAGTTGACTCCTTTCCTGCCTCATAAGCTACCAAAGCATAACTGTCTGTTTTTGTAGTTAGCAGACTTGCATCACCATGCATCCGAGCACAGAACAGTACACCCAAATGAATACAGCCAGCCCGCAAATGCACCATTCCCTGCATACACCTCCATCTTGTTTAAACACAACACATTCAGTTGCAGGGAAAAGAAGGTTGTACATGCTACAATGAACACTTTCTCTGTTTCAGAGAAATTAACCCAACCAACATTGTTATCTGTTGCAAAAATTTAGCAGCCTGAAATGGAGTATTTTTGCACAGAAGTTGCTGGGGAACGAAAGCCAGCTAGCTCTGTGCTTGCAGTTTCAAGTATGATGGCCAGAAGGAACATTTCCAGGTGCCCTCTAGAGGCCACATGTTTTACTAGGTTCAGCTCAAGGATGAGAGCCTGGACTGCCCTGAGATGCTTTCAAGGGTGCTGCAGGGCACTGCACAGTGCTAGCACTGTTAAGTGTATAAACATGATTTACAAGAGAAACCCAGAAATTCCAAATATGAAATCATGACCTGTTGTAGTCTTTCCAAATTCTTTGCAACAGAAGAATTGCTGTGTTATTTTCCTGTAGTCAAAAAACAAATAAAAACTAAGTTCTGGCATTTTCTGAGGATGCCTTTAGTCTAAAAAAGATTGAGAACTGCTGCCTTAATTCCATCTCAGCTTCTGACATGGTGTATGGAAACCTTAGGTATTTAGATCTCTCAGCACCCCAGTAAGGTAGTCAGACCCCACTGTCCCATTTCACACACTGGGAACCTGAATCACAAAGAACTGCCCAACGTCAAACACCAAAAGCAGAATGTAGGTCACCTGCTTCTGGAGCCTAGTTTCAGGTGTTAAACTTCATTGTCCTAAGCCAGTTCTCAAAAAGTGGCATTTTATTTTTTCCTTGTAATCTCAGTGGCCATTTTGAGATGTATACAGAGTAGTTATGCATCCAGGGGTATTCTGTCCCTGGACATGTAGTCCTACACATGTGACAACTATGTTGTCAAGCAGACTGAGCATGCACGGTAGTAGCTGTAGCCTACACATGCCCACTTTGTGGATGGGTAGCAGACTTAGACATTTAAACATGGAGTCAGCCAGGGTGCCTATAGGCATGCTTGTTCACATTCTAATTAGAATGCATCAGAGTAGACTTGATTAATTGAGTCTGCTCCATGTTCTAATTAGAACATTTTGCCTCACCGTCATGTGTATTAAGCCCCCGTGCGTTCAAAATGGCCACAGGAGCACTTTATCTGAACGTCGTCAAATGAGCTTTAGATAAAGTGTCCCAACGGCCATTTTGAAACATGCAGGGTCTTAATATATGTGATGGTCTGGGCTCTGCCATCTTCAGTCTGTGCTAGGGGTTCATCACTTACTATTGGGTCATTTCAAATATCCCTCCCTGCACTTTGCCTTGGGGTGGGAAAGCCACTGACAGCCTTTGAGGAGGCGGGAATTCACCCAGGAGCAGCTCCAAGTCACAGAGCCTATTCAGAGCCTGTAGGCTGTGACTGGAAGGCAGGGCTGACCTACATGGTTTTGCTGTTGAGATCTGCAGCAGAGATCCCTACACCTGCTGTGCATCTAACCCTGCTCAGGACTTCTTCCTTCACCAGACCAAGTCTGCAGCTCTGTCTTTGGCATTTGGGAGAGGCAGGCCAAAGGTCTGTTTAGGCCTTTTGCCCCACCAGGCAAGAGTGGTTAGGACATGCCAGTTTCTATAGCCAACCACACCCTGATTCCTGCTCCCCACCCGAATGGCCAGGTATTCACTTAGAGCATGAATCCAGAGTGACCCTCACTCTCGTGCCTTTCTATTACAATAGTTGGCTGCTCTGATATTTCAAACAGCTGTCCAGGAACAAATCAGTACTTGGGCAGCTCACTGAAAATGTCTTGTGGCACAGAGGTGGTCTACAGCAGGTTTCTACAGAAAGGATTAAGTTCTTGGAGGAGATGCTAAGGGCTAATATTATGTTCTTGTTTCAGACGCTGTATAACTCAATAAAAAATGAGAAGCTGGAGTGGGCAATGTAAGTATCGCTTCTAAGTATTATCTAACTCCAGAGGCACTATCATTTCTCTAATAGCTGTAGACAGCACCAGGATTTAGGAAAGTGCATCATTAACACAGGCTGGCTCTGGAAATGCTCCAACAAGGAAGTTTACCTCTGAAATTAAACCCCGTGCACTTGGCCAGTGGAGGGCATAGGTGGCAGTTCAGGCAATGAACTTGCCCAACTCTGCACAGCAATGCATTTCACCCACTCACAAGCACACACCCTTGCTCGAGCAACTCCAATGGAGAGGTGACTGCCATCCTGAAGGAACAAGGTCTGATTTTTTAGCTACTCGGTAATACAAACATTTCCTTTTCAGCTTTGAAATGTACCTGTCAAATTCCTGGGGCCTTGAACACTGCCCCTTCCCATGGTTGGATTTATTTATGTATCAGAAACCTGCATAAGGCATCCATCAGCATCCAAGTGCCTAGATGATGCTCACTAGGAGTAGATGCCTGTACTGTTGTTTCTGCAGGAGGTCTCATGTAAAGGGGGTGATTACTTGAGTGACTGAGTGATTTGGAACAGCACCCACCATGTGCCACCTACTTTCCAAACACTTTAATATGGGTGGTCTTTGATCAGAGAAGCTCTAAATCTGAGGATTATGTTAGTCACTCAGAATTATATTCTCTTCCATGTGAGCTTGGTTTATATTGCAGTCACACCACAGAAGCTTCTCCATTTGGAAATAAGCTTCAGTCCCCACCAATTGAGGCACCTGGAGTTATTTTCCTGATGTATACCCAGGTAGGAATTGGATGCAGTTTAACTAACTGTGATGATAAATCTCAGAACAGTTAATACCATAATCACACCACCCATCATGACCATGTAGTGTATATGTTAATATAATAATTATTATAATACATTTTACAACACCCATACCCAAGCTCTGCTTCATTTCTCTAATTTAAATTCTATTCCTTTATAAATTAAGCCCACTTGTGGTCTGAGTGTACAAGGCAAGCCTCATTGACTTCTATGGGCCTCAACATGGATACATAATTTGTCTTGTGGGAAACTTCTTGTAGGGGTGGGGCTTTAAAGGTCAGCAAACAACTCTCTATTCTTTTGGGGGACCATCTTCAGACAACAGCTTGTTTACATCTAGTCAAAGGAACATGGCACTGCAAGGGGCTTCCTGGGTTATCGAGTCCAGCCCCCTCCTGTTTCAAGCAACCATGTCATATAATCCAGTTCATAAATTTACTAGGCTCTGGTAACTGTTTGGCCTCTGTCCACTTCCCTTTGCCTTGCCAGCTGCCTCTTGCAGTTATGCACTTGTGGCCAGACTTCCAGAAGGTCTTAGCACATGCAGTTCCTGTTGACTTTGATGTGAGCTGAGTGTATGGAACTACCAGCAGTCAGGCCATAACTTCTGTGCAGTTTGGAGTGAAGTGTGCAGCACCCTCTCTCAGTGAAGATGATCACATTGTCCGGTGATTAACCACTAAATACAAGTTTGGAAGGATATTCTGTGAAGAACCACCAGAGGGTAACTCAGGAAAAATTTGCACAGCTACTAATACTCCTTCAAAACAATGTCCTCTGGCCCATTACAGTGTACAAAGTTGGTTGATTTGGGGAATCTGTGGTATGATGCAATCAAATAATGCAGCTGGAAAATAGGAATGCAAAGAAATGTTGCCTAGTAAGCAAACTCTTATTTGATTTCCCATCTCAGTCAGCAAATGTAGAGGTATATCCCTAATGTGGCAAAAGCCCTCTCCCAACAATACAGTTGGTCCAATTAAAAAAAAATCACAAAAATCCTTGCCTCTCCTACATGGAGCACAGGGCAGGAAGCAGACAGCAGAACAGCTGATTAGGTAAGGGAAAGGAATTGGAGTGGCACCTGAGGAATATGCAGGGCTTTTTGTGGCACATCTACCAGAAAGATTGGCCTCGACTAGCATCTGATGTTCAACAGAAAGGAACCAAGAATATTACCATAAGTTAGTCACTAGAGGGAGCCATCCAGCTCCACTAAGGCAGCTGAAACGCACTGGCATCTGGTAAGAAAATTTATATAAGGGAGTTCAGAGAAAGTGCAGCTGGTTCAGCTGAATACAGTCAGGCTATTACAGTCAGGCTATTATACAATTGTTGCAAAACACCCAGCTTTTGGGAGGTGGAACCTTTCACCCACACAGCAGACATGGGGAAAGAGAGCCCCTGCATGGGGAAATGCCAAATGCTAGAACAGTTCAGCTCCCATCTGGATTAAACTGGTTTTTCTGAGGTCTTTCTTCTCCACCCATCCTCCCATTTCCATGCACTCTCTTTGTTCCTCCCTTTGTATCAGTCTGATCTGGGAGGAAGGTAAGGTGGATGTTGCCTTGCTGCAGGGTTTCTTGCTTTATTAGAGGGAAGCCATGAGAGATCTCTTGCCTTCTCTGCACTGAGACAAATACTCCATGGAGCAAGGAGTTCTTGGTGCGGTAGCAGAGACAAGTTTTGAGCACATACTCACATGGGCTAAGCAGACCCCATGCCAGGCTGTCTGCTTCCTCCTCATTCCTACCATTGAGGCAAATAACACCACCCCTCACCATTGTCAGATCTGTCTCCCATTTGTTACCTCCCCTGAGTCATCTGACACCCTTACTACCTTGCCCCCTAAATAGCCCTCTCTCCATAAAGTCTGTAATAGGCTGAAATAACACTATTGCACCCAGACACACAACCAGGGCCGGACCACAATTTTTGGGGGCCCCTGCAAGATATAGTTTTGGGGCCCCCTGATGCAAAGAAGCAGGGGGCAGGAGGTGGCAAATGGCTGGACGTGAAGCCAGTGGTGATGGCAGCATCACAGAGTGGTGGCAACCACCTGCCGCCCCTTGCTGTGGCACTGATTTGAAGCGTTCACGGCCGCAGGGGTCCTCTCGGCTGCAGGACACCTTGCAGCCACAGGTTCTTCAGGGTAGGACGGGACGGCCTTGCACACAACCCCAACATGTGGAAGGCAGATCTTTGTAAGAAGGCTGTGGGCTCAGGATCCACAGCTACCCTGCCCTATAAGGAAGCTTAATTGCCATCAGACAGGCAAGCTTTCAAAGAACCCGAAATCCAGAGGTTCAGAGAGGGACAGGGGAATATAGCAAAAGTGACATTCAGATTCTTTCAAAATAATTGGCGTTTTCCAGCAAGTTCTATTTCAAACAGCTGAAGTGGAGGAAGTCACCGTCTGTTTGGATGTTTCTTCAAAGTACCAAAGCTCTGGAGGCAGGAGACTTTGGTAGTTCTAACTTCATGCACTGAAGCTGTCCGCAGAAATACTGTTGCTTCCTGCTCCTGGTTTCTCAGCCATGAACTGCAGTAAAGTTTTGTTTAGAGTTTCAATTCATTCTTACTTTATCGAAACCAGCTAAGAAAAAAACCCAGACAGGAGGAAGGTTTACACTTGTGTACTTGGCATTACACTTATTTTAAAAAGTAGGGGACAGACAACACAGCCCTCTAAACCTGGGTAATGTTGGAGAACTGCTCCTGAAAGAATCGGGTAAAACAATACCTGGAAATCTGTTTCCTTCCTGGTTATCTAAGTGTACAGACTTGGTGATCTATATGGCATTTTTTTGTCTTCTCAGTGTCAAAAATGGCACTTACACGGTTTGGCATTCTATTTTTGGACATATTGACCTGCACACATGAACAACTGTTTGTGACTAATTGTGCAGACTGGGCATTCACAGTTGTAGTCAAGGCACATATATACACCTCTTGTGAACACACAGTGGCCTGAGAGGCCCAAACGCAAAAAACATGCCTACCCAACTTAGCACCAAGAGTGGAAAGGGACTGCATGGATGTGCCTTTCCCCTCCATAGCTGAATGGCTATGACAGTCACCTGGGAAGCTGTGGGTTTTTGTACTTTCCCCCCTGTCCCCTAAATGGGGCTTGAACTTGGTCTTCCTGACTGACAAGCCAACAGAGTACTCTAGACACCATGTCATAGGACAGCCGTTATCTACTTCTTTCTCCAACACTCCTTTTGAAGCTGAGCTGCTAATATAGTCCATGGGGAAAATAAACAAAGGGCAGAGCAGGAGGTACCTTCTTTGTCACTGGAAGCAAGGGCCAACTAGAACTCAGGCTCCCATCCTGCCAGACCAGCAGCAACCTCATAGTCATGCATCCTCTGGCTCCTCTTATGCCCATATATCTCCCACGTATCACCCAGCTTGAAAAGGAGCACTAGAAGAGGGCTGGGCTGATATCTGCCTGTGGCATGTTCATTAGAGCCCTCTGTTAAGACATCAGAGAGACCTAGTTTTGAACCAACTCTGCATCAGGGCCTCTGCATTGCGGAGTTAACATCCTAGCCACTGAGTTCTTGGAGAGAAGTATGGTGGGATATATATGCTTTTTCTCCTCCATTTTTTTACCACTGCATATGCTCAGGCTGTACATGTAGTCACCCACACATGCAGGACTACATGGCTAGGAATAGCATTCCAGCCTGACACATGTCTGATAATGTCTAGCCTAGGGGAAGGCAACCCTTGGCACATGTGCCAGTGTGGGGCATGCAAAAGCAGTTTGCTTGATACACATGCCTCAGGGTGGACAGCAAGAGAGCTGTGAGGGGCCCAGTCATTGTTGTGGCAGTGCAGCTCCAGCCTGTTCCCCTCCATCCATCTCAAGGCACACATGCACCCACTGCCAGCAGTGAGCCAGGCCGAGGCTCCACGGACCCTGGTGCAGCTGCTTGCAGTTTCTCCACTGCCTGCTGCAAGAAGCCTGGGCTCTGTGGCAGCGAGTAGGTGCTTGCCCAGAGTCTGTGCTGGCTGTGGCAGGCAGCTAGAAGGCTGCAAATAGTATACATGCCTTGGGTGTATATATGCCTTGGGGCAGACGGCAGGAAAAGGGCTAGGGCTGCCACAACAAGGATCAGGCCCCTCGTGGCTTCCCCGTCATCCACTTCTGGCATGCCAACAACTTACATGTCAAGATTGCAAGTGTTTTTGGCACTTTGCCCAAAAAGTCACCAATCTCCAGCCTAGCACCTCCTTTGTTTAAATAATGTCACAAAGCTATAATGAGGACAGTCACAGATTGTCCAGTTTGCAATTATGCTCAGTGCAATGCCATTTGAGTTGACAGGACTTCAACTGTGTTTATGAGTGGGGAATTTGACGGCATGCATTATATTTCCTAGGTTAGCATTATTTAAAAAAAAAAAAAAATAGAATAATGACTTGTTTTATTTTTCTACCACCTCTATAATAAGTGATTCACTTACATCAAGGGCAGTTAATGCATGGCCTGATACCTGCATTTTCAAAATCATATGCTCTTTGTTCAGTGTATTCTCTGGATTTGTTTCCAAGTGATGAAGACGAACTGAGAAAATCGCTATCGGAACTTGTGGATGACAAATTTGGAGCCAGTGCAAAGAAAGTGACAAGAATCATTGATGGCAGCAATCCTTTCCTGGACATTCCCCAAGCACTGAATGCTATTACCTACAAGCACGGTGTCCTCACGCGGAAAACCCACGCTGACATGGATGGAAAGAGAAGTATGTGTTAAGACACTAAAAAGAGAAGTTCAGAATCTTGTCTGACATGGCACTAAAGGACATGTAGGGAAGAGAAAACTGATTTGATCAAAACTTGCAGTAAAAAAAAGTATGTATAGCATCAGGCACACACCTGGGTAAAAACAGTTAGCAAGAGTCATAGAGGACTGTAGGTAAAGACAGTAGGTAAAGAAGTGGACATGCTGGAGAGCAGGGAACAGCTGCAAGCAGACCCGGACAGGTTGGACAAGTGGGCAGAAAACAACAGAATGCAGTTCAACAAGGAGAAATGCAAAGTGCTGCACCTAGGGAGGAAAAATGTCCAGCACACCTACAGCCTAGGGAATGACCTGCTGGGTGGCACGGAAGTGGAAAGGGATCTTGGAGTCCTAGTGGACTCCAAGATGAACATGAGTCGGCAGTGTGACGAAGCCATCAGAAAAGCCAATGGCACTTTATCGTGCATCAGCAGATGCATGATGAATAGGTCCAAGGAGGTGATACTTCCCTTCTATCGGGCGCTGGTCAGACCGCAGTTGGAGTACTGCGTGCAATTCTGGGCGCCAGACTTCAAGAGGGATGCGGATAACCTGGAGAGGGTCCAGAGAAGGGCCACTGGTATGGTTAAGGGCCTGAAGACCAAGCCCTACGAGGAGAGACTAGAGAAACTGGACCTTTTCAGCCTCCACAAGAGAAGGTTGAGAGGCGACCTTGTGGCTGCCTATAAGTTCATCATGGGGGCACAGAAGGGAATTGGTGAGTATTTATTCACCAAGGCGCCCCCGGGGGTTACAAGAAATAATGGCCACAAGCTAGCAGAGAGCAGATTTAGACTGGACATTAGGAAGAACTTCTTCACAGTTAGAGTGGCCAAGGTCTGGAACGGGCTCCCAAGAGAGGTGATGCTCTCCCCTACCCTGGGGGTCTTCAAGAGGAGGTTAGATGAGTATCTAGCTGGGGTCATCTAGACCCAGCATTCTTTCCTGCTTATGCAGGGGGTCGGACTCGATGATCTATTGAGGTCCCTTCCGACCCTTACATCTATGACTCTATAAAGACATGGTTTGCAAGGTTGGTAATTTTGACCCTTGCTGTTCCCTTTTGAGTGAATTTTGCCCTATTGCAAAAATGCAGTACAAGACACACGCAGAACTTAAAACCCTATTTTGAAGGTGGAGTGATACATCATCCTGTAATGATGCTTTACATAGGCTGTTTCTCCCTGGCATATATTGAACTCTGCCATCCAACTTAGTTATTTCCCCACCTGATTTCTAGCAAACAGAATGTTTGTTTTAATTACCAAAAGTGGTGACAACACAAAGTGAGAGATCTCATTGGCTCCACGTGGGGACAGGAGGGCTGAGGACTTTTCCCCTGGAAACCCCCCCATCTACAGACCTAGCCACAACAGCAGTCTTGGCCCAGGAGCTTGAAGAGGGGAAAATACCTTCAGACCTAGCTGAATAATGGATGGAGCCCATGTAGTGCTCCAAATGGAGCAAGGGCCCTTTTGTCTTGGTACTTCTCCATGGGGAAGCTTAGACCCAGGACTAAAGTTCCAGACACACAACATTTTGACATCCACACAATTTACATTAGTTTTGTATACCAGTGTACCAGGCAGCAAAGCCTGAAGGAAGAGACCCAATGAGTACATGTTGCCTCTAGGTCGTAGGGGAGCAGGGGGAACTTAAGCAAAGGGTTACTCCAGGATAGTCAGTTAGATTCTCTACAGCTGCAGACAGAAGACATTTATATCAGTGTAACTTACACTGGAGCATGGTACTATCATTTTTTATGGGCAACTTCAAACTGAATCACAGTGATTTTTGGTGTAGAGCTATATATGGTTTGTCTGCTCCACGTTTAAACTAGTATAAAGGCACAGTACCTTGGTGTATATGTGTTATGTATCTGCACCCTCTGGCCACATCCCAATGTGCAGGGGCATGTGCTTGCAGCGACAAAAATAGCAGCAGCACAAATTTGTGCTGCTACTTTTTGCTGCAGCACATGCTCCTGTAGGTGTGTTTTGTGCAGGGACAAATTGTCCTGCTTCAGGAAAACTGCCCATGCCCAGCTCCTCCCAGTTCCTGGTGTGCTGGAGGAGTCAGGGCATGACTGAAGGAGTGGAGACACTCTGGCAGGCAGCCAGAGCATCTCCCTGGATGATTAAGCCCCCATGTCTTTGGGTGGACATTCCTGTTGTATGGGCCATGCTGCATTTTTTCCTAGTGCTTTTATTTGCTACTGGAATTTCCCAGTAGCAAATTTTGGCCCCATGCTTCCAACTTGCAGTCAGCGTCACATTTTAATGTTCCCTACCTGCAGTTTGTGATGTCACAAAGAAGCTTGTGGCGCCACAGAACACAAGCCCCTGTTCATCTGGATTCAGCCTATGGGTGTGTCTACACAAGACACTTTACTGAGCATTAGACTAATCTAACACTCAGTAAAGCATCACCATCTACACATGTGCAGCAATGTGCGCGCAGTATATTAGTCCAATGCACCATTTTCTAGTACCTGTAGATACATTAACTAATGTGCAGTAGCACACATGTAAAGGCTGACTGGGAGCAAATTGCAGGGGGGCCACAGGGGGGTGCAGGGAGCTGCCCTGGCTCAACAGGATGCTGCCTGCCAGCCATATGGAGATTGGGACCTGTTCTGATCTCCACGTGGCTAGGAGATCTGTTCTGGCTGTGAGGCAGCTGCCTCCCAGCCATGAGGAGATTAGGAAGGGTCTCAATCTCTGCCCTCCCTGACCCCCACCCTCTGGAGCTGGGGGCTAAGCCCCAATGCCCCCTGCCAGCCTAGGGCTGGTACCCAAGGGAACCTGGAGCTTCCCTTGGCTGCTGCAGGGGGCCAGAGCAGGGCAGGAGCAGCCCTAGACTGGACTGCTCCTGTCAGACTTAATTTGCTGCCGATGGGGTCACATGTATAGGCGTGCACTGCGAAGAGCTTTAATGAGCCTGAATTTTCTGCACAGAAAATTCTGGCACATTAATTGCACATGTAGATGCACCCTTGTGTAACACAACAGAGACCCAAATACTGCTATTAAAGAAGTAGGTCTTAACCAAATCACTGCAGACATGTCCCCATAGACTTTGGAAAGTCAAAGTTTAATTGCTGGTCCCCATTTCTATTCTAGACTTAACCAAGACTCTGCAGCCCAGCACTCTGAGCTATAGGGGAAGTTCAGCTCTAGATCCTTCCTCTTTAAAGGGCTCATCCAGATCCAAAGAAGCTGAAGTTGAAGAAAATCTGGATATAGACCTCAAGTCTGAGGCTTTTGCTCATCCACATTCTGCCATCACATTGTACATGCACAAGTTCCACTAGCAACAGGATGCTAAGTAACACTGACGTCAACTGGGAGTACAGGAAAGATAATGGAAAATATATTTGGAAACTGTTGTTTAATTACTGGTGATTAGTAAAACCTTTGAGGATTTTTTTTGTTAATGGAGATGAATGGCGCAGTCACTGAAGCCCATTAAAAGCCCATGAATACATAAGGTTATGGCCCAAGGTCTCCCTTCTCTTGGCAGTCTCTAAGTAAGTATAAGGGTACTTTTGTCAGCCTCTCCCATCAGTGCCTTAGCATCTTTCTTCTCTGCCTGCCCATGGTGGACTGTCCCCTCTGCAGTACCATACATTGCTATAGAGATGTCTGCAGGGAGAGCTGGTTGCTTAAGCGCCTATCACTATATGGTTGAAGGAACAAGGGAAGACCTCAGCTGCCTTACCCATGACATACACAGTCACTTGATCCATGCAGCAAGCATATGGAGGTTGTGATATGTCTCATACCCTTAGCCTGGAAGAAAATGAACCAGGCTTCTAAGGAGCAGTCATTTCCCCAGCCTGCAGTGCCTGGCTGAATTACTGCTTCCCTTTCTCCTCTCTAGTACTGACACCAGCCAATACCTAAGCTACAGTATTTTCACCTAGTCCCAACTCAAAAGAGACAACAGAGACAGACTGGGTAAGATAACAGGGCACAGATGATAGGGCACTAGGCTTGAGATCAGGAGCCTGGCATCCCATTCCTTTCTCTGCCATTATCTTGCGGCAGATGCTCCATGCTGCTGGGTGAGTCACATAAACCTCTCTGCTCCCATGTTTCCTTATGCACTAAATAGATCTAATGACCTCTCCCTCCCTGCAAAATACCTTGAGAGCAAGCACAAAAAGAGCTAAATTGGTGCCAAGCATCCACTTAACACCTGGACATTGCAGTAATAAGAATGTGCTAGTCTGGGTGTATAACCAAACAAAGCAAGGAGGGTTGGGAATCTCTGTGACTCCTTATCTGCCTCCAATTTCTTTCCATCTGGATTTGATCATCTAAGAGGTACAGAAATCCTTAGGGATTGCAACAAAAACATGCTGGCACTATGCCTATCAGTTCATGCATCACAGACAAAGGACGTGTGGTTATCTGGAAGAGAGCTGCATTGCTGGTCCTCAATCTAGCATGCATGAATATCACTGTCAGCAGCGATTGCTAGAGATAGCAGCTAGAAAGCCCACAAAGCCCATTGAGCAGAACAGTAAAGTATAAACTGGGATTTAGAGATTCAGCCTAGTGTGCAGCATTTGGGTCTGTGACAGCAGGTACCAGACATGCCTCCAGCTGAACCTGGCCATCTGTTCTACCCAGATTTTAGGCCATAAGGCCAGGAGTTCACCCAAAGATCTATAAGCAAAACACATTTCCCTCACTTACAGATGTTGAGCGAATTTCAGATTGAAAAACTTAGTGGGCTGGCCTGTTTGTGTAGATACCCATCAGTTTGCCTGCATACCCAAAGCCTGTCTGAATTTTCAGAGCCTTTAGCCTACAAATCTCTCTAGAACAGGGTGTTCCCTGTGATCTCCAGTTTGCTTAGCTGAAGTGGAGTTTCCCACAAAAACACTCACCACTTAGACTTTTCTAATTCTAGGTATGGATGTCAAGCTGAGCAAGAATGAGAAATAATGAAAATCAAGGGGTCAGCTGGACTTCAGGTGAAGGCTTAAGGGGTCTTGCACTTGAACGGTTCACCTCATTTTTGAATGTCATTTGGGTGTTGGATGCTTAAGTGGTTCAGCATTCCCTAGTTAATATGGGTAGAAGCCCAATATACTGTACCTGGGAAACCTTTGGTTTAGTCGGGGGATATCTGTAGTGGGTTTTCGTGATGGTGATGCATTGTCTTCTTCCAAACTGACAGCCAAGTAGTAGTGTCATAAACAGGAATGTATAACAAATTGGTTTTCTTCTTTTTAGCTCCCAGAGGAAGAAGAGGGTGGAAGAAATTTTATGCTGTGCTTAAAGGGACCATTCTTTATTTACAAAAGGTAAAAATGACCTGTCCTATGCTGGTTTTAGCTCTTCTATGCTACCTCCAAAGGAGTAATGCTTCTGCATTGCAAAGTGCTCATGAAATGTTGCAGATATTGGAGAATGAGGCATTCATTCTGGATCCACACTCATGATGCCACCATTGGGTTCTGTGGGACTCCTGCATAGGAACCCACAAGAAGTGATATACCACCAGATCTATAACTTGGGATGGAGAACATGATAATCTTTCATGAATAACTTAATTGTCAGGATATACAGAAGGGAACTATTCACAGCCTCAAAAGAGTAACTCATAAGTAGCAATGGTGTAAAGCTAAAAAAAATAGAATGTCAGACCTAAAATTACCAGGATTTTAATAGAGATGGCTGAGGCTTTGTCACTGCTAGTATTCCAGAATTGGTGAGATAGGACATTACAGAGCCATGCTATATTTTGTAGTCCCACAAAGTTGAGACGGATGGAGAGTCAAACTGGGCTTGTCTTGTACTGTTATTTTATACTGCAGTAATTTACCTGAGCCTAACTAGTCCTAGTGACCTCAAGAGAGAACTTGTATGTTTAAAATTAGATACAGGCTAAAATACCTTTCTGAGTTGGGTTCATAATAATGATGGATACTATGGTATTTGTCTGCTTCCTTCCTGGCAGTATCCTGAGGGTTTTTTATAATAAGGTTGCGCCATATTTCCCAAAGATGCTGCCAGTTCTACATGGCCAAAACTAACTCTACTCAGTATAACCCCAAATTAATAGTTCCCCATGGAGGCAAAGGTGAAAACCAGATGAGAAGATCAGTTTACATGCCCTTATATGTTGTTCACATATACTGTCAGTTGTAGCCTCCACCTTTCTGCCTTTGAGGCCATTTGGGTGACACTGTGCTAAATGGTCTTCAGGTTGTTGTGGTTCTAACTGAAAAACTCCCAGGTGAAAGGATTTTACTTGACTGTTACATATCCCACAGCAAGGTCTGTCCAAGTCTGCCCTCCTTGCATTCATTATGCAGGAACATAACCCACTGAACTAGGACTGAACTACATTAGCAACATGTGCTGTACAGTAACCCACTGAACTCACCTTGCTGGAGCAGCACTTCCTGTAGGTAGATGTTCGTGTGTACTGCATTAGTATCTCCACAGCAGCAAGAGCAAGCAAATAGTGGATTATATAAGAGCAGCATAAAGCTTCCTCAGGGCAGCATGGAGCTATGACTCAGAACCCTGATCACACCCTCATGATTGCTGTGTTTTGCCAGATCCTATGGAGTATGTGATGAGGCCCTTGGAAATTTGGCATGAGTTAATCTAAATATATTTTATGGTTGCTCTTAGCTAGCTTGGAGTTTTACATGCATGCCACCTTAACTTGTGACAAAAGCAGATCTTGAAGAGTCAGGCTGGGATGGGTCAGTTCTTGGGTAGGAAAATTCTAACATTTAGATGCCACCACAAGTGGGAAGTGAGTGATATTGTCTTATTTCCATGTACCCATGTTTAGTGCCGAGAATTATAATGCTGGTGAAGATGCCTTTGAAAAGCATGGAAAAGCTGAGGCCCAAGCTGTCTGTAGTTCTCAGAAAGATCCTATGGCATTTTCTTAAGAGCTGCAGTGTTAACCACAATGTCCTGGCCATATCCCAACAAGGGAAATGGAATCTGCTTATTTATGATTCCCTAATCCAATTGTTCTTCATTTTTAAACTAACTTGCCATGTGTTGTCTAAGAGCTGCCTGTTTCACCCCAGAGGTAGCTGCATTGCAGTAGCAAAAAAATGATCCGTGCATATAGTTTCTTCATTGGTTATACTTTAAAAGAATATTAGTATTTGTTTAAATGCAGCATATTATTATTATTAGAAATGCACCACTGAACCACAGCATCCTGGGTATCAGAGTCAACCTGACCCTGGACAACCAGGCAGCTAGTCTTGAACAATATGTAACCCGGATGTCTCCAAAGTGAGTGTCCTCCCTCACCAATAGAAGGGGAAAGCCAGCAGGGCACACCTGCGGCGGGTGGAAACTGCAGTCTACTCACAGTTCCCTCCCACCTATCGTGTCTCAATAGAGAAGAAACAGAAAGGAATGTCTCAACCAAGTACAAATTGTGTGTGTGTGTGTGTGTGTGTGTGTGTGTGTGTATGTATGTATATATGTGTGTGTGTGTATACATACATACACACACACACACACACACACACACACACACACACACACATATATTTATAAAAAGAGGTACTGAACTAAGGTGAGTATTTACAGGTTAGAAGTAAATATAAACATAACTATATACATACCCGAATGCAAGCAGGTAAGCACAACAGTCCCAAACGGTATGAACAGGTAAGTATTAGGGCTGCGCGAAATTTTGCCGTCAGTTTCATTTTGACGCTGTTTCGACTCCTTTCAAACCCAAAACAGCAAAATCGAAATGAAACGGAGAGCTTCGAAACAGCCTTGAAACAAAACAAGGCAAGTTGAAACATTTCAAAATTTTTTTAACGTTTCAAGATTCAAAGCTCAAGCAGGGCTTGCCTGCAGGGAAACAGAAACTAAAGTAAAGAGAAGGAAGGGGAAGTGGGAGGAAGGACTGCTCTCATTATTGACTGTGTAGCTGGCCAATGACTGTCATCCTTCCCTGAGGTCTCTTCCAATCCCAGTGCTCTGGGGGAGGGATGGAAAAACTGCATAAAAGACAGCATTGTTTGAACTGCCCTGCTTTCTGCCTTGGTGTCAGTTACTGAACTGTGTGTTCCACTTTTGCCTATCAGCAGCTAGAGGTGCAGGGCCCCAGAACCCAGACTCCCCCTGCACTGATCTCCTTGACAGCTGGCAGGCTTCGTGGGTGCAGAAGGGCCTAGGAGTCCTGCAGTTTTGACCCCGCTGCTGTGGCTTAACATGTACACGTGACATGAGTTTTGCTTTCAAGACTTTGAGATGCAGTTCCCCTGAAACCCCTGCACCTATATTCTTGAAACGTGGCAGGCTTCATGCCTCCCAAAGGGGCTACCATTCCTGCAAGTGTCATCCAAATCAAGCCAGAAATGACAAAGCTATAGGCTGTTTTGAGCTTCCCCATTATAGCCTATGGGCAAAACGTCGAAACAGCGTCAACACAGTGAAACAGTTTCGATTAAACAAAATGGAACAATGGTTTTAAATTGAAACGAAATTCAAAACAAAAGGCTGTTCCGTTGAAACGCAAGTTGAAACAGAACAGTGCTGTTTCACACAGCCCGAGTAAGTACAACAATAAATGGCATTCTAAAAACCAAGGCGGACAGCTACCAGTTAATAAACATTCCACACATTCATAGCACGTATCAAACAGTCAGTAAAACACTCCAAAACATGAGGCACAAAAGTTCTCTAGTGGTCCCCCTCCTTTTAGAGGTCTCTTCCTCCTGCCTCTTTATTGAGGTTACCTTCCCCCAAGTGTCAACCCCCGGTGGGAGACCCGTTGCCCCACTGACTCATGTGTCCCAAGGAGCTGGGTGGAGGTTGTCCATAAGCTGCCCTGGCCTGGCTAATGTTTCTCCAGGGGAGGGCTCAGTTCCAGGCCTCATAGGAGTGGCATGACTCACTCACATGTCCCAGTGGCTCAATCTTTCTCTTGCCTCATGCATGCCCAGGACTGTGCCACTCCAAATACTGCTCCCCACGCTCAGGATCCACTCCTGGGGCCCTTGCAGACCCACTGCAGGGGATAGGTCACAGACCGCCCAGCCCCTCCTTCTCCAGGGCCTTCTGCCCCGCAGTGACTCACCCCATGGTAGCACTGGCTACCATTCCCAGCCTCACACCGGGGTTAGAGACCCGAGCTGCCTCGCTGTGGCTCCCAGGGTCCAGGTCCCTCGCAGACCCTTCTTGCAGTGATGCCTGCACCATCTACTGCTTCCATTCAGCGGTGGAATCTTTAGGGCTCTTCTGGGCAGCCGGATATGCCCACTGAGCAGCTCTCCTAGCTCTTCTTGGCCCTAGGACCTCTTCCTTCTTTTTAATTCCATGCTGACTGCACCGCGTGCTCAGCACACAATGGCTTATATCCCCTTCTGGGGCTCCACCCCCGGATTGAAAATGAACCAATCAGGGGGCTGCAATTGCAGTTCCCAATTAAGTCCACTTCTGCCCCCCCTCCCCCCCCACCCAGAGTAGAGGCAGAGCGGACTCTCTTCCCCTGCCTGTCTCTGATTGGTGGGTTTTGCCCCACCAATCACATTCGCAATTTCCTAAGCCCAGAGAGCCGGGCAAAGCCCAGCAACCCACCACAAATATATGCATCCAAATCCTAGGGAGCATAGCCCAGTGGTGAGGACATTAAGTTGTGTTTCAGGAGATGCCAATTCTCCTATCGGCCCCCAAGCTTGACCTTGGTTATGTCACTTAACCTCTCCATGTCTCCAGTTCCTGTAGAATGGGGATCATGATGCAAGCTCCGGGTTGACATGAGGCAGAAGGGTTTAGTCTTGCCAGGCTCTGAGTAGAGCTGGTGAAAACCTTTCAAAAGAAGAGTATTCCCTTGAAAATTAGCATTTCATACAAGTAAAAATATTTCACTAGGTCTTGTCAAATTTCAGTGGAATCCTCAATGGCATTGTTTTTATTTCAATTCTGAACCAAACATATTTGTAGAGTCTCCAGGATGCCACCTGGCCCTGCCTTCTACCAGACTTTTCCATGGAATGGAAATTCACATTTCCAAACAACTCTAGTGCTATATCCTGCCAAATCATGAATGGCACATGCCCCTGGTGGCTGGGGGGCATGGCAGTGGTGGGAGCGCGGCGGCGGTGGCAGGAGCACAGCAGTGGTAAGCATGGGAGCTCCCGCAGCCACCGCTAGCACTGTTGATAGCGGGATGGCAAGCACCAACCAAGCGTCGGCGGTGGCCAGTGGGAACCGCTTTTTGAAGGGGGTGCACCGCCACACTCGGGGGTGTACGTGCACCCGCGTGCATCCCCTACGCATCGCCCCTGTGCTAAATCACTGATGT